TGAAAAATTTAAAAATTGTTTGTTCACCAATGCCAGAAGTCTGCCAGGCAAAATGGGAGAGTTAAAAGCTTTGGTGGTTGAGGAGAACTATGATATAATTGGTATTGCTGAATCTTGGCTTTGTTCTTCACATGATTGGGCTGTTAAATATTTCTGGCTGTGCTCTCTTTCAGAATACCAGGTAAAACGAAAAGGTGGCGGTGTTTGTCTCTATGTGAGAAGTGATCTAAAAGTGAGTATGAAAGGATGTTGTTGATGGTGAGCATGATGGTGCTGAGGCATTATGGGTGGCTCTTCCTTGAGGCATTCTTATTGCAGCTTTTTAGCACAATAACAGTTTAATAAGTAGCTAGGATAAAAAAAAACTCGTCATCTTAGATACAAAAGCTAAAAGACAGTAAAACGTATTTAAAAAATCTAGTAAAACATCTAAAATACATAGCATTTGTACAAATTGCTTTGGAAGTGCACCCTAAAATGTGCCCTGTCGCAGACAGAAATAATGCAGTCAGCTGTTTCTGAAAACAATTTTGAATCATATATTAGACCAGAAAATGCATGGATAAGTTCCTTATAAAATGTAGATGCCGGTTTTAGTGTAAAATGTGGTATGTCAAAAAGGTGTAATGGCATATCTCAGGAAAACTAGCCTTCAGCTATGTAGAATAATGCTTGGAATTTAAGCCATTATATTCCACTTTAAAGATATACTGGAAAAATTTGTTTTGGAAAAGTCAGTGAATTGAGATACTTTTAATTAACTAATACATCAAAGTATACACAATTCTCTTGCTAGCAATACAATGGACTTTGAGCCTAGCAGTAAATGATTTAAAAAAAGTTAATTTAAAAGAAAACAAACGGGAAAATGTAGCGCAATACAAGACTACTGTAGTTATTGGCTTTTCCATCTATTAGAATGAGTTATTTCACAGAAAAGTGAAAATGTTTCTCTTCCACAGTAAATCAGGTAATAATGTAAAATGAATCCTTCAGCAGGGCAGCCATTGGTGTCCATGGACATTTTGTTCCTGACATTGAAATGCATTTATGCAAATAAGTACCCTAGCAAATGCTGTTGTAGCCTATAAAAACCTGTTACATGTTCTACATGGCACTAAACAATTACTGACAGGGTTAATCACAAAAGGGTGAAGAGTTTGGAGAAGACAGGGGAAGTGAACAATCTAGGCCAAAATAGCTGATTTGGAAAAATTCTCCAATTCATCTCACTTTCCAGTTCGCTATGTTGTCCTAGATTGTTTATTTCTCCAAACTCTTCACCCTCTTATGAATAGCCCTGTACGTCTACTTCTTCCTGGATGATCTGGGTATACACGTTTGGTTGTATAAGGCTTGTTAAAGGACTATGGACTCCGATAAAAAAAAATGTGCTGAAACACTTAAATGTAAGTGATTCAGCACTTACAGTTTTCTGTTATTCTACCTGCAAAGTTTCACCAATACCTATTGACATACCTGGAAACGTGCCAGAACTTATTTGGAAATGTTGACATTACTGGATCGCTACAGGCCAGGCTCAATTCTCTAGATTTCGATTTTCTTATTTTCATACCACATATATTAAGTGTGTCAGTCATTTACGAACAGAAACCAAAAACAAGCTCAGTCATGAAGGGGTTAATCATGCTGCCTATGTTTTTCCCAGCAACTTGCTTGAATTCAATGGGTTGTACAGGACAATGTGAATGAGCTGGTAGTGCATGTGATTGGAGCTCTTTGGCAGAGCAGGGGAACCTGTCCAAATGCATTTAGGGAGTTTGAGGTACCTCCCAGCACACATACACCCAATACATCCTTTGTTATGCATATGTTCCAAGATGAAGGTTCTCATAGATTAGAGTTAGGACCACACTACACAGAGGGGCCTTAATGAAGCAGTGTGGCTTCCACATATTTTGCAAACATTGTGCAACTAAAACCTCTGTTTTTAACCCTATTAGTGGGACAGGGTATTTTTTTTGCAGGTTGGCTAGTGAGTGTGCTGGGACGTTTTTGCTTTTGTACTGTGTAAAAACCTTCCATGTGCACCTTGCTTTAAAGTCAGGTATGAATTGAAGAGTGCGTTTGCCATTTGTTTCGCTCGTTGGATTTGGTGTGGGGACACACTGGGGGCTTCAGCTGCCATTGTGATGTGCGGGGCTTCTGGTGTGTCCCTATGCCTTTAACCCCTTCGTGACGGGAGACGTACACTGTACGTCCAGCCACAAAGGGACCAAATGACTTGTCACGTACACTGTACGTGACGAGTTATTTGCTGCTTTAGAGGGCTGCTAATCGCTGAGAATCAGCTTTTAACATTCATTAATGGATGCCCTTACTACAGAGGCATTCATTAATGAAAGGGTTAACCTTTTTCAGACACCCGATACCTTAATATCGGGTGTCTGAGAGTCACAGCAGAGCGGACACAGATGCCGGCTTTTGCCGGCATTCTGACAGCTCGTATAGATCGAGAGATATCTCTCTCAAGCTATACTGGCTTTTTTTTTTTTTTCTTTCATGAATAGATACATAATGTGTCTATTCCTATAATGTATCTATTCCTGGAAGAAGAATGTTTGTTTGCTGATCGTAGTTGCAACAATCAGAAAACCTTTAGTAACAGCTGAATCCTAAACTGCTGCAGGATCAGTGTCACTAACTTATTATCGGCTGTTCTGAAGTTTGAAGCAGCCTGATAATAACCAAAAATGTATTAATTTATCAAGCAGTAACAGTGAGATTAATTCACAATGACTGCTTGATATAATTAAATAAATAAAATAAAATTTTTAAGTTAAAAAAAGTGAAAAGAGTAAAAAAAAAAAATTGTGAAAAGTGTAAAAAAAATAAAAAAATGTGTAAAAAATAAAATAAAATAAGGGACAAATAAATGAATGTATTTATTGCATTTTTTTAGCTGTGCTGGTTTTGTAAAAAAAATACTACAAATCAAAACTGGGAAAAAAGTGTTTTTTTTAAACGGTTTTTTCCTCTTTTTTTATATTTTATTTGTCCTAAGTGAGGCGTTAGACACACATATGTGATATAAATATGTAGCCCTATCTGTCCTCTAAAAAACAATATATAATATGTGTGGGTGCACTTTGTAAGAAAGTATATTACTGACGTGGAAGAATCACACAGCAAAAATGTCAAAAGTGTGTCAGTCATTTACGAACAGAAACTAAAAACAAGCTCAGTCATGAAGGGGTTAAGGAGGTTGGGCTACCTCCTGGCAAACCTGTACCCAATTCATTCATTGCTATACATATGCTCCAAGATGAAGGCTCTCATAGATTAGCATTAGGACCGCACTATACAGAGGGGCCCTGACGAGGTAGTGTGGCTTCCACATATTTTGCAAAAGTTGTGCAACTAAAACCCGTTTTTAAACCTATTAGTTAGACAGGGTATTTTTTGCAGGTTGGCTGGTGAATGTGCTGGGACATTTTTGCTTTTGTCCTGTGCAAGGCATGACACACAAGCACACATAAATATAGAAACAGGAGATCCTGTGTCAGACATGACATCTACACCTAGGCACAAGGGATGCTGTGGAAGGCATGATACTAGAAACAAAGGAGACTTTGGATGAACTTACTCAGGGGCATTTTTTCCCTCACACCAATGCCAGGACACTTCTTTCTTCACAATTGTTAGCCCCATATTTTGCACTGTTATTAAACTCTTCATCTTGCTACAGCGTGCCGCAACATTGGCACTATTTCAGCTAATTCCACAATTATTAAATATGTTTCGACTTTAAACACTGCTATAAGCCCCTCCTACTCCACCCCCTGTGTCACCCCTATTCTCAGGCCCACATGTTCCCAGGTATGGCTACTAATCCTGTTGGTGGCTATTAGCATATTCATTACCCGTTCACAAGCCTGCAGTTTGTCAATCAGCAGCTGGCCACACTTAGACCTCCGCACTGCTTTCTGGATTGACAGTACTGCCTTTGCTTCTGAAATCCTCCTATTGTGAGCTACGGTATCTGGTGATAGGAAGAAGGAGGGAGGTGAGTAAGCAGCCCTATTTGTTTTTCCATGTATTCCATGTATCAATTGTCACTAATAATGCAGAGTTAATCGAGGATATTGTAATTGGGGAGTCATTGGGTAATAGTGATCACAATGTGATTACTTTTAATATTGAACACAGAAAAGGGAAGTGTACTGGAAGGACTAGAACCCTAAACTTCAGAAGGGCCAACTTTGATAAGCTGTGCAACCTAGTGGGGGAAATAAAATGGGAAAACCTATTTCAAAACCTAAACACAGACCAGATGTGGTATTGTTTTAAAAACACACTACATACTGCTACTTCAAAGTGTATACCTTTAGGGAGCAAAAATAAAAGATCAAAGACTAAACCAATAGGGTTTAATAAAACTGTAAAACAACACATCAAGGACAAGAGAGCGGCATTTATAAAATATAAGACAGAGGGGACGGCATTGGTATTCCTTAGCTACAAAGAATGTAACAAAAAATGCAAACTAGAAATCCAGGCAGCTAAAACTGAGTGCGAAAAGCATATCGCCGCACATAGTAAAAAGAACACCAAAAATTTTTACCAATATATTAACAGTAAAAAGGACAGAAAGGAGCAGATAGGCCCAATAAAGGCTGAAAGTGGGAAGCTAGTCACCTGATTTCAGCAAATAATGTGGAATTGTTCAAGAAACTTTTGGACGATTTCTTAAGGGACCGTAATATACAGGGGTACAGGTACTCCTAGAATGAGATCCTAATAGGTTGGACTTGATGGACTAAGGTCTTTATTCAACCTCAAATACTATGTAACTATGCCCAATCCCTAGTATTTAAGATCCTACATTTGCGATACAAATTCCCTACACATTGTTTATTCAGAACATTAGATAATACTGGTTAACTTTGTTCATCCTGCAATTCAGTGTAAATATTGTTCATAGGCTGAGATCTAATTTCTGATCAAGTAAGCAATTCACCTGGTAAATGTTTACTTACATTTGTCGTCCATGTTGATCTTCTCTGGTCAGTACTCCTTCTTTCTCCATGAGCATCTGGCGAAAAGTTCCTACTTTCTGATGTATTTCCTCTTCTGAGTACCTGAAACAAGATGCAATGAATATAGTTATCCAAAACACAGTCAACAGAATACAGTCTATCCAAAACTAACAAAAAAAGTCTTGGCTATAGATACACTTTAAGTTTCCAAGATATCTATGAGCCAGCAGATAACTCAATCCAACAGACTCTACCTTCACTTTTAGATAGGCTGGTCCATAAATGAGGGTCTCCCTTGAAACCTTAGACCATATTTGTGTAGTAAATGGCACAACAAAGGCATATCCTTCACCTCTCTGTCCTTCTTGGCGCTATCTAGAAATATGATACAATTTGTTCCTGAAACTTGGTTTGGTAGATTGTTCACTCTAATAGTGCAATGTATCAGCTCCACTGTTGCATGGGAAGCAAGTAGATATAAAAAAGAGGCACAATGAATCAGACCACATTTTAGTTAAACTAGAATACCATGTTAATATAAATAAATCCTTAAGATTTTTCAGTTAGATTGTGATTAAAATATTCAGTTAGAGACTTATGGTTCAATATTAAATAAATACTGTATTTTCCAGTGATTACTGAATGAATCACTTCTACTACTACAACTACTACAATTTCATCAACTCATTCACATCTAAGAGGTTTAATGAAATAGTGTACTGCATGATTACCACACATAGATCTTTTTATTCAGTGGTTCAGTTCAATTATCATTACTCGTTGCATTGCCTTGTTTAAAGCCAAAAAGGCCAAATATTGTCACTTTAAAGGAGATCTCTGAGTGAATACACAGCAGTATTCATACTAGTGTGCATTTATTAGGTTTTGTACATGGTATTGCTTTATATTAACAGTGTGAGGAATGGCTTGTAGAGGTTCTTCAGCCAGGTTCTCAGACCTCAAGCGCTTACATGCAGACCTCAAATGCTTAAATACAAAATGACTGTTATCTATCAAACTTTCAGCCCGCTGTCATGAGATGAACAATACCACAATCAAGAATGAGCAGCAAACTACACACTTACTGTCCACCTGACATATTGTTATAGCTACTTGTATTTATTGAAATGGACAGATGTATTGGTCTCTTTGATGAAAGCACTTAAATAAAATTGACTTCTTTGTGATGTCTGCCTCTATATGGTCAGTAGACCATTCAGCTTTAGTCAATGCTTCCAACAAACAATACAATAATATGAAATATAAAAAGGACTGTCCACTTTGCTTTTGGCTGGGAGGCCTGATGACTTGGATAAACTATAACTAACAAAGCCATTTTTCTGCACAATTGCAGGAATCAATCTGTAAAAAACAAAAAAAACATATAGATTGTGGCAGTGCATGGCAATGCCACTGCGTTATCTCCATTCCTGTGTCCAGAATCTGAGTGGCCAGCGCATGCTGATGGCACAGGTGTGCACAGCCTTTAAATTAAAGTTGTTGGGAAGGGTTCAAGACTCCACCTGGGAGACAGGAAAGCTCCACCCAGGAGTCAGAGTGGAGTCCAGTGCAGCAGGGTGCTGTGGATTGGGAAGAATCCCCCAGTGTGCAGGTTAGCACATGACTGAGGCTGTCTGGAGGAACAGACAGTGGGCTGAGGCCGGAGCAGCGGTGCTGCAAAGGCAAAGCCAGGAGGCTTGATGGGCATGTGCTGCCATGAGATGCTAAAGAACCCCTGCGAGGGTAATTGTTCTGTTTTTGTGAACTTTCATTTAATAAAAGTGGGCAAGGAAGCCCTTGAAAGAAAGATTGCAGCGAGTGGATGCGTCCTTAATGTGCTACCATTGGAATCTAAATCTCACAAGATCTATTAGGTTTCTAGATGTACATTTTTCCTCAATACTGACATGCTATATACAAGAATAGGCTTGTGTTCAGTCATACTGGCAGTGGAAACAGAAGATTAAATTAATGTATATAACATTGGGGAATGGTGAGTAGCCTCACACTTGCTATTGTCTTCCAAAAATCAAATTAAAGCTTTGACACTCAGCTCCATTGCCTTCAAAGCCTGGCTCTCCGCTGCCACCCAGATGAAGTTTCCCTAACCTTAGCACACTTAGGCCTGGTTCACACCTGGGCGTTTTACAGCGCGTTCCTACGCTCTGTAAAACGCTCAACACGTGAAAACCAATGATTGCCTATGGGCATGGTTCCCACCTGGGTGTTTTACAGCACGTAGGAACGCGCTGCAAAACGCCCTAGGCCCAAAAAAGTACAGGAGCTTCTTTGGGGCGTATTTGCCACGTGTATCCACTGGGATATAGCCAAGTAGCCCTCGGAAACACGTGTTTGTCGTGCGTTTTTTTACCGCAAATCGCGGTAGAAACGCGCAGCCCGAAAAACGCGTGGCAATTGCGCATATTCCGTACGCCTAGGTGTACACCCAGCCTTACACTCGTTATGTTGAACATCTCTGTAGCAGCCTGCCTAAATTACCTTAATACACACCTACTGCCTGGCATCAAAGTGGGAATGTGCTACAGTTTTATTTTTTATTTTAATTTTTTAAGACACCAATCACATTAGTTAGATTAGTTAATCAGTAATGGCGTGCATCCCACCTCCTCCACGCTCCTGCTCCATGGCAAAATCCTCCCTTCGTGTCACCAGATACAACTCACAGAGACTATATTCTAATGCTCTGGGGGTTAACAACAGCAATCAGTGTGACACGGCTCACATGCAGGGCCGGTGCTAGGATTCTTGCCTACAAAGGCAAGGTGCATTTTTGTGCCCCCCCCTCCTCCCTCCCCGACCCCCTGTAAAAACAGAGAAATAGGAGCTCCAGGTGGGGTCCTAATTTAGCTGGCTGGCGACTTCCTGAGGTGCCGCTAGTGTCGCCCTCAGGCGGCCGCCTGACTTGCCTTGCGGTAGCGCCGGGCCTGCTCACATGCCCCTTCCTGCCCCTTCTCTATACATAGAACTCATACTGTTATTCTTCCACAATACAATACACGCTGTAAATGTAGGAGGAGCAGATTAGTGACAGGATTTGCCCAGCCCATTCACAGAGTTTGTTGCATTGTGGAGCAATAATACTATGCGTTCTATGTATGGAGAAGGGGGCAGAAAGGGGTGGGTGAGAGGCGAAATTCTATCACACTGACAATCACGGGTGTCAACCCCCAGAGAACCAGAGCACAGTCGCTCTGGAGTGTATCCAGTGGCATGAAGAGAGGATTGTGTCCCGGAGAAGCAGTCTGGAAAAGGCTTCCTCTTACAGGTTGACAATATCTCACAACTGGTAACGGCATTGTCATACGCATACCTTCAGTTGGCCATTGGGCTGCCTCTCTGATAGACCTTATGGGCAGCTCAAGGGCCAACAAAAGGAGTGCCTATGACAGGCTGACAATGCTGTTGTCATGAGGAAGAAGCTTTTTGCTGCCAGCCTGCAACAGTAAGTGCTATTACTGGCAGGTTCTCCCTGTAAGAAACTTTGAAACAAACATAAAAGCATGTTTGCTTCAGAAAACTGTATACAGTAAAGTATGATGTCAAACATACTTAGAAATAGGTTTTGGGTTTACATACACTTTATGGCTCCTGGCTACAACATGGCACAGTCCGGGAATTTTTTTAAGCACATTAAAGTATAACTACACGTAGGAGAGGATCTTCAAACAACAGTCTTCATGCACATCTATTCCCCTTTTTAAGCAATGAAAACTAGCATACTGTATAGAGAGGGGTTTTACATGATGCCCCTAGATCAGACAGCTTGTTAGTTATGTTCAAGTCATACTCTCACATTAGTTTTGGTTTCCCTCTTCCCACTATTTCTATGTTGCTAGCTGTTTGCATCTTTATGTTTGTCTACTCCACCTCTTCTACATTCCATGGCACAGGACTACCATTGTTACAGTCAGCAGTAAAAAATGCACACAGTGGTTTTTTTCTCTCTCTGCTAACATGAAATAGAACTATTTATGTGTAAATTTGAAGCAAGGTAAATGAAGCCCCTCAAAAGCAATTCAAAAATATATCTTCTGTGCTTTCCATAAATGTGTAATGTTCTCTTCTTTAAAATATCAAACACAAACCTTTTTAAAAGATGGACTGAAATGGATGGGTGATGCTACCATAGAAACTGTGCAGCACTAACAAGAAATAAAACTCCACACCTCACCAGAAGTAATGACTAATGCGAATGAATGTACTGTGTGATGCTTCATGTACTTGCACAAGATTACTATTGATACAGCACAGTGACATCGTTATAAGAAACAAATAAACACACAATGGCAATGCTCCAATTGTTATATATTCAAAACAGCTTAGGGTTAATGGTGGCGGTATAGCCAGACACAAAATTTCCCAGTTCTCGGGGATTGCAGAATAGCCTGCACTGTATACTATATTGGTGTCTGAGTTCACTTAATACATTGTATACGCAAGAGTACACTAAGCCTAGTTTATTAAAAAAACTGACCCTGTGAAGGTGCATTGCACTGTTTTTCTTTCTCTTGTCTCTGTTACAACATATAAGAAAAAAAACAGACAAAAACTAGAGGAAGTCAGCATAAAGAATATCTTCAAATAAACAAAATGCACTTGTAGCAAGCACATGGCCTGCCATATGCAGACTACAGGAAAATGATAGAGAACAGTTTCCTACGGCATTTACAAGCTGTGAATGCAGCACCTATGGAAGATATTTATCTATGACTAGATGTTAATTCCAACCAACATTTGCCCAAAATTCTTTGGTGAATATTCACCTTATGTATCAAACCAAACTAATTAAAATTTGCCCAAGATTTACCCAGTAAAAATGACATTCCTTGACATGCTCGCAACTTATTTTTAACTAAAATTTACCTGGTTGAGTTGTCAAACCATTGCATTTTCTATTAAGAACTAGAGATTCTGCAATTTTATGGTTACATTTTTTTTAACCCTTTAGTGATACAGCTTCAGAAAATATTTTCGTTGCTGGGGACCGGAGCAATTTTGCATTTGTTTAACAATCATTTCCATCTTCCTCATTCATTGCACCAACACATATTATATATATTTTTAAATGACATAATAGGCTT